CTACGTGCAGATGGTCCTGAACAACCTGGTGGAGATCATTAACAGACCCAACACGCCCAAGACGCTGCTGGAAAACACAGGTGGGCACTAGGCCTTGGCCTGTTTCCTGGCCCTCATCCTGGAGGTGGGGTTCTGGGCTGGGAGCGCCCTGGGGAGAGACCAGATGGGACGGGGAGGAGACTCTGGCGGGGCCAAACTGAGGGGCCCAGGCTGGCCAGAGGAGCCATTCCCTTGGGGCCCGTGGGGCGGGGCTCGGTGCCTCGTGCCAGAGGCCCCGCCACGTACCGTCCCGGGGCCGCTCAGGGTTGCAGGTCGCCTGACGAGTCCCTCTGCCATTCCAGCCATCACCATCGGCCGCCTGGGCTACGTGTGCCCACAGGAGGTAGCACCCATGCTGCAGCAGTTCATCCGGCCTTGGTGTGTGCCCATCTGTGTCAGGCCTGCTGGGTGGTGGGCGGGACAGGCCTGACCCCTTCCCTCACCTCTGCCCTCCCAGCCCTAGTCATATCCCCGTAGATGCATGTCCCAGACCCACTCACTGACCGTCTGTGCTCTCCACACCCCCCAGCCCCCAAAGATACTTGTCCTGCCCAGACCGGATCTGCCACTGACCCACTGCTCCCTGACCCTCACAGGTGCACATCGCTCAGGAACATCAGGGACAACGAGGAGAAGGACTCTGCCTTCCGAGGCATCTGCATGATGATCGGTGTCAACCCTGGGGGCGTCGTGCAGGTTGGGGCAGCTGGGCTCTGAGGGAAGGTGCGGGAGCTGGGCTCGGGCGGCCCCTCACATGGGATCCGTCACGTTTCAGGACTTTATTTTCTTCTGCGATGCTGTAGCCTCCTGGGTGAGCCCGAAGGATGACCTTCGGGACATGTTTTATAAGGTGGGGCTCCCGCTGGGCCCTGTCAAGTCTTGGGAGGGAGCAGGGAGGAGACCCTCTGGCAGGGGGCAGGGTGGGAGGACAGGAGCAAGGGACAGGCAGGGTTGGGGACAGGTGAGCTCGTCTCATCCTGCCCTGGCCCACCTGTCACCCGCTGCGTTCCCACAGATTCTCCACGGCTTCAAAGACCAAGTCGGGGAGGACAACTGGCAGCAGTTCTCAGAGCAGTTCCCGCCGCTGCTCAAGGAGAGGCTGGCGGCCTTCTACGGGGTCTAGGCGAACATGGAGACTGCCAGGTGAGGGGCTGGTGCCCGGCTCAGCGGTCAGTGCTGTCTCTGGGGCTGAAGGGGCCCGGGCTCTGACTCTCTTTGTCCCCCTGCAGGTTTCTGTCTGCGTCGTCGTCGGAGGGATTGCTGGGGAGCGCGTTGCGTCCAGAAGTCGCTGTGCCCTGGTCAAGGGGGGTTAGGGAGGAGTGAGTGGGACCCAAATCCAGACGCCTTCCCCGTCCGTCCGTCTGTCCGTCCGTCCACCTGCCTTGCTGGGCTTGTCGGGCCGGCAGGCGGGCAGGTGGGTGGGGCCTCCACGCTCATCCTACAGGGAGGGGGGTGGGACTTCGTGTCGGGCAAGGGCCCCTGGGTGCTCACTGGGGTCCTCTGTGGCAGCCCCCCTGGGCCAGCCGCGTGGGAGGGAGGAATCAACACGGCCGACCGAGTCCGGCTTGAGGCAAGGGGCAAGCAGGCGGGGTGGGGGGTCCTTGTAGGGACGCGTACACTCACACGGACAAACACGTGGCCACACGCATGTGCGGGTGCTGCAGCCAGCGAGGCTGGGCCAGCCGCCCCACCATTCCCCGACTGCATGGAGACAGTAGAGTTAGTGAACCCCTGAGTTAACCCGTAAGGCCTTCCGTGTAACCTGCATCTAGAGTTTAAGAAGCTTCTGCTGTTTTGCCGGAATTGGTGGTGACTGGGGAGGGCTGGGTGGGTGGGGGGCCTCAGCCGGGACCCCGGGGCGGGGGGAGGAGGACGGGCTACCTTGGGGCCGCCCTGTCAGCACACGCACGCTTAGGACCTGCTCTGCACACTTCCTGCCAGCTTTGTGGCAGCCTCAGCCAGTGTGTCCCCGTTCTTGTCCTAGCCCAGCCAGCAGGGTGGGGACCACCAGAGCAGCTGGGGCTGGCCAGAGGTCGCCCTTTCTCCCTCTCCTGTGCTCCAGCAGCTTTTGAAGATGCTGGGCTGGGACCTTTTTCCTGAAGAGAGCTGGGGGTGGCCAGAACTGCTGGCACCTAGCCACTGCGACTCTGTCAGCAGCCTGAAGGGCAGTCTGTTCCTCTTTGCTTCTGAGAGCTCCTTTTTCACGCGTCAGGCGCGAGTTTTAACTCAATGGCCAGGGTAGGGGCATTTAATTGATGACAGAGGACAAAGGCTTATGCAATGCCACCAAGAAGGAAACCCAAGGGCTTGGAGGAGGGGAAGTGGTGCACCCACTGTTCCCCACTCCATCACCCTGGGACTTCCTGCTCATTAGGGCACCCAGTGGGCCCAGACGGGCAGAGATTCTGGAGAACCTTCTGGGATTGGCTGGGGATATGGTCAGGGTGGGAGGGGCTCCCGCAGAGGGGGAGGGGGCATAGTCACTTCCAAGTTGACCAGGAAACCGAAACCGGGCCCTGCAGTCCCCTTAACATTCACTGTTTTCCCTTTTTTCCTTCCCCACTTTCTGCTTTTTTGGGGGGCCCTTTTTGTTTTGGGGTTTGATTGGAGCCCCATATCGCTGGGGCCTGCTCCATCCATCCCTCCTGGGCCCTGGATCCCACCCCCATCCTAGCCCTGTGTCTTCTCATGGTCAGGATCAGGCGCTGCCTCTATTCCAAGGGGCACTTAGTGCACATTCCATAACTCAGCTGTTTTTTCCCCCCCTCCCTGTGAAACTCGAGCAGGTCTCTGGAAGCCATTTGTAAAAAAAAGAAAAAAAAGAAAGAAAGTTTTTTAATACCTTTTAATTTTCTGGTAATTCCAGTTCTTTGGAGCATCCTCCACAGGGTCTGGGGTGTGTGGATGGATTGGCTGTCTGATGGGATTGGTGACCCCCTCTCCACCCAAGATGGGGGCTCCAAACACCTTCAGGGAAGGGGAGCCTGGTTCTTTTTTTTTTTTAAGAAAGCTATTTAATTTTTTTAATTTATTTTTGGTTGGTTTTTGCACAACGAAGTTTCAGCTTCTCAACCTTCTCCCCTGCCCAGGGCTGTGGACCCAGACTGGCCTTGATCCGCAGTCCTCTCTCCATGTTTCCCGTGTCCCTCCTTCCCTCCTCACCCTCTTCCCTCTGCGGGCTCCCAGATCTGTCCATTTGTTACCGTGCTGTGCTGGGGACTGGCGCCGAGGCGGCGTGAGATTCCACTTGTGTAGAACTTTGTTGAGTAAAGATCAGTTTCTTGTGAACTCCTTGGTCTCTGGCCTCCTGTGTCCTTGGCTTTGGTAGTGGAGAAGGAAATGAGGGGGGCTCTTAAGGAAAGGGGGCAAACAGAACTCTGGTCAGGAGATAACTGAGGGAGGGGAAGTAAGCATGAAGTTGGCACCCCAAGCCTCTCAGTTTTCTTCCCTGTAAAATGGGAAGGTGAATATGAAAGACCGAAGATTAGGTATGTAAGAAAAGGAGTGGGGGAATCTGTGGCCTTCTGATTTCAAGATTGTTCTTTTTTAAACACCAGAGGAAACAAGAAAAGCTTCATCTTTCTCTGCTGCACCCCTTTTAACAAAAGGATTTGTTCCGTAAAACTTGGATTCAGTCAAAAGGCCGCACTTACGGACCTAGAAGGTCTTTATTGCCCACCCTGCGCAACAGGGTAGGTTAGAAAGTTTTGTAGGAGGCTCAGCCCACCACCAGGCCTGAGGGAGACATGTCAATAGGAACTGCAGTTACTGAGGCAAATGAGAAAAAGCTCCAACCCTGAGGGAACACACAGTCTTCCAAATAGAATGTTTGTTTTTTCTTTTTTCTCACATCAGATGGGTAATGTGCAGATGTCCTAAACAAGGTATGAGGGAGGCACATCTCACCCATGAGCATGAAAACCCAATCACTACGCCTACGAATTACAAAACGATCTGAGAATAAAATATTGTTGCAACCTTGGCATGGCCCAAGGATCACCTGCATCAACTTGGAAACCAATTAAAAAATGCTGACACCCCCCCAAGGTTCATTCAACAAATACCTACATTCTAATGAGAGGAACTAGACTAAGCAGCAGAACAGTGATAAGTCCCATGGAGAGAAATACAGCGGGAAGGCAGAGATGTTGCGGGGAAATGGTTAAAATTTTATGCAAGGTACCCTGGGAAGGCTTCTCTGAGAAAGTGATGTTGGAACAAACGTACGTATAAGAGTGTCAAGCAGAGAACAGGCAAGTGCTGCTCAGATGGATAGGTTAACTGCCTAGTTCTAAGCTGTGTCACCTGTAACAGGCGCCTACAGTAAGAGCCTTTTTTTTTTTCTTTTTGGTGAGAGGGTTAGTGTCTTGCTCTGTCGCCCAGGCGGGAGTGCAGTGGCGCCATCATAGCTCACTGCAACCTTAAGCTCCTGGGCTAAAGCGATCCTCCTGTCTCAGCCTCCCGAGTAGCTGGGACTACAGGTGTGTGCCACCATACCCCGCTATAATTTTTTTATTTTTTCTAGAGACGGGGTCTGGCTCTTGCTCAGGCTGGTCTCTAACTCCTGGCCTTACGCGATCCTCCCGGCCTTGGCTTCCCAAAGTGCCGGGATTACAGGCTTGAGCCACCCCGCCCGGCCAGAGTTGCGTTTTAAACTAAAGTCGGCTGCCCCTCTGCATCGACAGCACTACAGATGCTGCATTTTGGAACCTGATGTTCCAGGTTCCAAAACCTGGAACCCGAATCTGCATTTCCCAGGCTAAGGCCAAAGCAGTTGCAGCACGAGACCCCCTCGAGAGAGCCGGTCTTAAACGCTAAGCCAGTCTCCCCGCGGACGGCTCGCTTCCGGTCGGCGAAGTTGCGTCAGCAGGCAGCGCCGGAAGTGCCCTCGCGCTGCCTAGGAGACAGGACGCCGGGTTAGCAGCTGACAGGGCCGCGCCGGCCGCGCCCACCCGGTCGCCATGGAGCTGCCCGCAGAGCTGTACGACGATCCCCGAACCTGGGACGAAGACTCGGACCCGGAGCCGGAGCCTGACCCCGACGCGCAGGCCGAGGCCTACGTGGCCCGCGTGCTCAATCCGCCAAAACCCAGGCTGACGCCCCCGCGCGCCTCGCCGCTGTCCACGCCTGCCGCGTCCCCGAGCGCCCTGGAACCGCGGGCCACATCCAAGGTCTCGGCGGTGGGTGTTCCGGGCTTGCTGAGCCTTCCCCCGGAGCTGCTGCTGGAGATCTGCGCCTACCTGGACGCGCGCCTTGTGCTCCACGTTCTGCCGCGCGTGTGTCACGCGCTGCGCGACCTCGTGCGTGACCGTGTCACCTGGAGGTTACGCGCACAACGCCGCGTACGCGCGCCCTACCCAGTGGTGGAAGGTGCGCGCATCCGGGGGCCAGGGACGACCGCCCAGATCAGGCTTGGGGCGGGGGAGGGGGTACCTGGGCTACTCTGGGCACAGCCTCTGGAACAGGCTTCGTGGCTGGCCTGGCTCTGGCCGGAGGCTGAGGTCGCTACCGTGGTGCCAAAACCCCTGAGGACCTCTGGGTAGACCATGAGGCAGACACTTGGGGTCCTGAAGCTGTGAAAGCCCACCCTGGGGGCTGGAGTTCCTGAACCCAGGATTCAAAGGATCCTTAGGCTTCGGGGCTGGTGGTACCAAGCCGGTAACCCCAGGCTGTGGGGTTGACGCAGGCACTTGAAGTCTCAGGCTGTGGAATCTGCTTGGGGCTCAGAGGCTTGCCCAAGAATTCTCAGGCTCTGAGGTCTAGCCTGGAGGCTGAGGCAGCAAATGGTGTTGCCAAAGCCTCTAACCCCCTAGAGCCTTGACCTAGCTGAGGGTGAGGCAGGGGCTCAGGTTCCAGAGCCTGCAACCCTTGAACCATATTAGGGTTTAGGTATTGGGATCCCTGACACCAACAACCACAGATCCTCAAGCCCTGGGTCTAACCCCGCATCTTAGGCAGGGTTTGGTGGTCACTCCTCCTGTCCCTGAGTTGGTTGGTCCTGGGGGAAGAAGACAGCATGGGGACCTTGAGTTAATATTGCTGATCCTGAAATTGTTGGATGTGCAGGTCCTTGAGCCAACATGAGTAACAAGTTGATTGGTTGATTACGCTAACCTGGAAGCTTTGATTCTGCAGAGGGGCAGGGGGCCTGGATTGGTGATTTTCAAAGTGTTGCCGTCTGACACCCTGGGTCATACTCTCCCAAACAGCTTGATAAACATAGATGCTTCGGACCCACCTGCACCTGGAGCTTGGATTCTGCATCCTGACAAAGCTCCCTGGTTTACAGAGATTAGTCTGAGAAACATTCCCCTTGGTCTGGTTGAGATGGCTGAGGCAAGAAGGGTTAGTCATGAGACCCCAGCTCCTATGAGGGGCTGAGGCCGCATCTCAGTCAGAGGTAAAATAGGACCTCAACGTCCCAAGGCTGCTGTACCCCAGGCTTAGGTTGGGGGATGCAGCCTGGAAAGGTGTTCCTGAGGCCCCTGATTTCTGGAAATTGGAGTGAGGAATAGTCAATCCTAGATCTGCCTGGGAGATGGTTGGGCAGGTGGCCCCAAGGCCAGATTCTGGGTCTGCTTGGGGTTGGCTGAGGAATCCAGATGGGGTTCTGTCCAAGTCTGGTGTATGGCGGGCTCCCAGGAAGCCAGGGTTGGGCTCAGACAGCTGGTGTGGGTGGTAGGGTCCCTGCCCACTGGGGACCCTACTCATGGTGCCCCACAGAGGAGGACTTTGACTGGCCGGCAGCCTGCATTGAGCTGGAACAGCACCTGGCCCACTGGGCAGAGGATGGGCGCTGGGCCGAGTACTTCTGCCTGGCCGACGGGCACTTTGCGTCCATTGACTCAGTGCTGCTGCTCCAGGTGAGGCGAAGTCTGGTGGGGGCCAGGCAGGGGTGGGCCAAGGCGGCCCCAACAACATCACCTCCCTCCCTCCCCAGGGCGGGACACTATGTCTGTCGGGCTCCCGAGACCGCAACGTCAACCTGTGGGACCTGCGGCAGCTGGGGGCGGACCCCAGCCAGGTTCTGGTCAAAGCCTTGGGCACCCAGCCAAACAGCACCCACAAGGTGAGGGGTCAGGCAGGGGTAGGGGGTAAGAGGCCTGGGTAGCGTGCCTTGCCTAAAGGCCCAGGTTTTGCCACCAGACCTCATAGATTTGAATCTTGCTTTGCTATTGTTGGTGTACTTTGGGTGAGCTGTGTTACTTCTCTGTGCCTCAGTTTCTGCTTCTGCCCAGTGGGCAGTTAGAATGAGGATGAATGAGAGTATGTGTTAAGATCAAGCTTTGACACATAGTCGGTGCCCGAAAGATGTCAGGCATACCTTGAGAGGCCCAGCGCAGGGCAGTTACGAGGCTGCCTTGCGGATCAGCCAGCTCTGAGCATGGCTGTCGTCCCTAGAGAAGTGTCTGTGTAGGGACACCTCTGCCAGGCATTAAGGTGGTCCAGGCTGAGAGCTCACGCTTGGGGACAGGCTGCTGGGTTCAAATCCCCACTGTTACTTCCTGGCTGTGTGACCTTGAGTGAGAGACTCAAGCTCTCTGGACCCCAGTTTCCTCGTTTGTAAAACAGGATACACGACAGTACCCTTCTGAGAGGGTTTGGGGAGGGATGAGTCAGTCTGCATCTGGCACTCTGCATAGTAGCTGCTGAGGTGGGGGCTGTTTTTCTGCCCATTTTGCTGATGAATAAACTGAGGGAGGTGATGTGGTTTGCCCAGGTCATGGAGTGCAGGCTGCACTCTTGATCACACTGTCATGTGATTGAGGCAGACCACCACTGGTGCCGAGTGTCTGAAGTGAAGAACTTGAGTTAGAAATGTTACTGGGTGTGGCATCCCTGTCCTGGACTCTCATGTCAGACTGACCCACAGACCCAAAGTCTAATGTCACCTGGGTTCAGGCTTGCTCTGGGTTCTCGTGTCAGTTGTCTCCCTCTCTCCTCTGCCCCTTGATTTTTGTTATCTGTGAAATGGGGATGATCCCATGGAGCCAGAGTTGTGTGTTGTCCCACAGTGTCTATCACATTGGGTGTTAGGGAGGAAAAACTTTGTGGCTTCAGGTGAGTGTATTGACCTCTCTGAGCCACGACTGCAAAAACAGGAAGTCCCAGCTTTGCCCCTGTGGGCCGTGGTGGGGAGCCATGTGTGACTGCTGTGTCTGGTCCTGCAGGGCTGGGTGTGGTCGCTGGCGGCGCAGGACCACCATGTGTGCTCCGGCTCCTGGGACAGCACAGTGAAGCTCTGGGACATGGCGGCTGATGGACAGCAGTTTGGCGAGATAAAGTGTGAGGGGTCCAGGGGGCCTGGCGGAGTGGGGCCCTGCCTGGCCGCAGCCTGAGCCCTGTGGTCTGTGTGTCCCCAGGGCCAAGGCAGCCGTGCTGTGCCTGTCCTACCGGCCTGACATTCTGGTGACCGGCACCTACGACAAGAAGGTGACCGTCTACGACCCCAGAGGTAGGCCAGGGACCCCGGGGCCTGGGTTGGGAGAACAGGGCTGCCTGGGGTCTCCAGAGCTGTGCTGGGGAAGGAGGCACTGAGACCTTGTGGCCTGGCTTGAGCGACAGTCCCATGAGCAGATGCTAACCGCTGAGTGGCCGGTGCTGTGCTGGGGCAACAGAGACGACTGGGGCAGGGGGTTCAGAGGAAGCCTGGTAGCCTCCAGGGTTGAGTTAGAATCCTGCCTTTCCCACTTCCGAGCTGTGCAGCCCCAGGCCAGCTTGAACCTCAGTTTCCCCATCTGTGAAATCCAAATAATAACAACACTTCAGCCCCACGGGCTTAATGGGAGGAAATGACAATAAGACACCAGTGGATAAGTTAGTTAGTTTACATAAAACACCTAGAACAAACACTGCCTGGCACAGAAGTCTTTTCTGTTTGTTTCTTTTTCGTTCTTATTTTGTTTAATTGAAGGGCCAGTGCGCCTTGTCCAGGCCAAGCCGGAGTGGGGTTGCGGGGTGGGGCGCGTCTCAGGCCCACCTGCAGGCAGAGGGGGTTGGCGCTGAGACTGCCCTGGTCGGCTCTGTGCTGAGCAGGGTAGGTGGAATTGGAGGAGGGAGATGGGACAGGGGACAGGGAGGGGCAGAGGCCTGGGGGTCCTGGGACGGTCCAGATTTAGCTGGAACAGGAGAGGAGAGATGGTCGCTTGCAGGGTAGGGGACAGAGCAGACCGAGGGTTTTGCCAGGGAGGAGAGAGGCCCGGGATGCTTGGGTGGGCTGGGGAGGGCCTCTGAGGGGCTCTGATGTGCCCCCTCCTCCCGGCCCATCGCCCACGAAGCCGGCCCTGCCCTGCTGAAGAGCCGGCGGCTGCACTCCAGCGCTGTGCTGGCACTGCTGGCGGACGACCGGCACATCATCTCGGGCAGCGAGGACCACACCCTTGTGGTGTTCGACCGCCGAGCCAACAGCGTCCTGCAGCGGCTGCAGGTGGGCCCCCCAGGGGCCTGGAGGGACCAGGGCTGCAGCTGGCCTGGCCTGGCCTGAGCTGCCCTGTCCCTTGTCCCTCCCACAGCTGGACTCCTACCTGCTCTGCATGTCCTACCAGGAGCCCCAGCTCTGGGCTGGTGACAACCAGGGCCTGCTGCACGTCTTCGCCAACCGCAATGGCTGCTTCCAGCTAGTCCGGGTCTGCAGGGCCCTTGCCCATACCCGTCCCTCCCCCAGGCCTCCTTCCTTGCCCCTGAGCCCCCCGTGGTGTGGAGGGCTGGCCTTGGGTGAGCCTCACCTGAGTGTCATCCTTCCTGCCCTCCCGCAGTCCTTCGACGTGGGCCACAGGTCTCATATCACAGGGATCAAACACTCGCTGGGGACCTTGTACACCACATCCACTGACAAGACCATCCGGGTGAGGCTCCTGCCCAGCTTGTGCCTGGGGGACAGTCCCCATCTCCCACCTCCATGGGCCAGGGTCATGCCCCTTGACCTTTGCCCATTGCCCCCCACCAGGTGCACGTGCCCACAGACCCACCAAGGACCATCTGCATTCGAAACCACCACAACGTGCTGAATGGGGTAAGGCCCTGGCCTGCGTGCCCAGCCCTGCCCGCCCAGAACGCTGCCCTCCGAACTCCCTACGTCCCTGTGCCCTCCCAGGTCTGTGCCGAGGGCAACTTGGTGGTGGCTGCCTCTGGGGGCCTGTCGCTGGAGGTCTGGAGACTGCAGGCCTGAGCAGGTGGACGGGGATGTGGATGTGGACACTGCCAGCCGGCAGGCTGGGCCTCCGCCACTGTTCTCCGGGGACCTTCCTGTGTTGGTGCTGCCTCTGCTCCCGCCCCACAGGCCCAGGGCACAAAGAGTCCAGGCCATGGTTGGGTGGGGGTCCCTGCGCTGGGCCCCGTGCCCACGGAGGTGAAGTTGGGGTTCTGGCCCACCTAGGGAGCTGCTTTCCCCCCTGGGGCCCCGGTTTTATGATTTGGACGCCCCGCTCTCTGTGGGGAGCAAAGGAGAAATAAACCCGACTGACGTGTTGGTGCTCAGGCCTGGAGTGTGAGTGTGGTGTGGCCGCCCGGGGCCCTGTCCGCGCCTGCCTGGTGCTGGGGCGCTGCAGGCGGGTACGGGGGTGGGCGGGGGGGACGGTGTGGCAGGGCTGGGTGCATGTGTCAGTCACTGATGTGTGTGTGTGTGTGTTTGAAGAAGAGTCCAGTGGACCATGGGCACCTGTGTCTGTGACATTGCCTCTGTGTGTGTGACATGTGGCGCGTGTGGGTGTGTAGATTATAACTCGAACCCTGGACATGAGTCCGTACAGTGGGAGTGGGCATCTGCTCAGGAGACCCCGTGGGTGTGGGGGAGGGTGGGAGGCTCCAGGGTGTGTGTGCTGCTGTGGCTGTGACCCTGGGGGTAGACCCTGTCCCCTGCAAGCCCTCAGTGCCAACCCCTCTCCCCAGCGTCCACATCTCAGCCCTGCCCAGCCACATCCTGGGGAGCGTTCACTTCATGTTTATTGAGGGCCCCTGGTTTGCGGGGGCCACAGGGTAACACTGTTGTGGGGTCATAGGATGGCACAGGGCTTCTTCTCCTTGAAGGGGTTGGTGGCGGCCGGGATGCCCACGAGGAAGGGGTCACTCTTGGCCTGCTCCGTGCAGAACTGCAGCAGGTCGGTGGCCGCCTTGGACACCTGCGGACCAAGCCACTCAGCCAGACCTGGGTGTGCGCCTGCCCCCCAGCCCACGCATGCTTGCCTCCTCTCCCCACCACCTGTGCCGCCCTGACCTTCACCTTCACGCGGTCGATGCCTGCCTCCATCCGCAGCTGCTCCACTGTCCGGCGGGCCTGCCCAATGTCACTGCCAACAGCCACCTTGCTGGACATCTGGGGAAGAGCGGGTAGGATTGTGGGCAGCGGGCCCAAACCCAGATCTGTAGGGGAGCCTAGGGCTGCCTCAGGGTCCCTGCACCTCCCCACGTGTCCCCTGGGGGCTGCAGGATGGGGGTGGCTGTTCCCAGGCCTGTCAGGCCCACGTACCTTGGCTGAGGACTCTGGCCGAAGCCACCTGGCTGCCTGGTCCTCCAGCGGCCGCCCTGCTCTGGCTCCCTCCTCTATGCCGCGGGCCTCCCCAACTCCCTCTTCTTCCTCCCCAGTCCTGCAGAGACTTTGAAGCCAGGATGCTCATGGAGTGAAATGTCACCAGTGGTGGCAGCAGCAGCAGCTGCCTCAGCCAAGGGGGTTCCTGCCCCAGCAGGTCCTGTGGGCTGTCCTAGTCACATGGCACCTGGGTCCTAATGGGCTAGGCGGTTTGTCTGGGGGAGTGAAGAGGCCCTGGCCTCTCTCTGACCTGCTGGGTCCCCTGCTGACTGGCCCAACACCCTTCCTTTGCCAGCCTCTGCCACTCCCGACATGCAGTGTGTGCCCGCGCTCGGGCACAGCTGGCCCCTCCTCCTGTCTGCACTGCCTGGAATCTCTCCTGCAGAGGAGACTCGATCCACTCGCTGATGCTGATGGCTTCCTCTGCCCCAAGACCTTCTGCCCCCAGATAAAGTTCACCACTCTGCACCAAGTGCTCAGGCCCAAATCTCCTACTCCTTCATTCTATCTCAAGTGCCATCAGATCAGCCTTCAAATTAGATTCTCAAAGGGGTCACTTCTGTCACCACTCATACCCCCATCTTGGCCCACCTGGACCAGTGCAGTCACCTACCTATGCCCTGGTCACCAGCTTCTCCCTTGGATCATCATGACAGCTTTCTGTTCGTTCGTTCATTCATTTATTCATTCAGCACTGTATGAGTCAGCTTAGGCCACACAACAAAATACCACCGACTGAGTGGCTTAAACAACAGAAATTTATTTTCTCACAGTTCTGGAGGCTGGAAATCCAAGATCGAGGTGTTAGCAGGTTTGGTTTCTTCTGAGGCTTCTCTTCTTGGCTTGTAAATGGTGGCCTTCTTGCCGCGTCCTCACATGGCCTTTCCTCTGTGTACCGGCATCCCTGTTTCTTTGCGTCCAAATTTCTTCTTATAAGGACACCAGTCAGATTGGATTAGGACCCACCCCGATGACCTTGCTTTAACTTTGTATTTCTTTAAAGACCCTGTCTCGAAATACAATCCCATTCTGAGGTGCTGGGAGTTAGAGCTTCAAGATACAAATTTTAGGGGGGATCAAGTGTTATTTGCCGAGATTCTAATATGTGCCAGCACTATGCAAAACCCTGCTCTCACAGAGCTGCCATTCTATCAGGGAGGGACAGACAACAGCCAACAAAATGTACACAGTGAGAGAATACATTTGAAAGAGACTATTACGAAAGAAGAATAAAATCAAGGTAAATAAGAGAAGGGTGCTCAGAGCAGTCCTGTCAGAGGAGGTGACATTTGAGCTGAGGCCCAAAGGAAGAGAAGGAACTGGGGAAGGGGGTGCTCCAGGCAGGAGCAGCAGATACATGGGCTGTTGGTGGGGAGAGAGCTTGGTGGGTTCCAAGAACAGCAAAATGGTCCGTGTAGCTGGAGGGGTGTGAGGGAGGTCAGCAGGCGCCCTTGAAGGCTTCTACTCCAAGGGGAAAGCCACGTTAGAGGGTTTTAACAATGTGTTGATTTATGTTTAGAGCTCTTTGGCCTCAGCTGGGAGGTGAATTGGAGGGGAGGGAACCCAGATGGAGACCATGGGGAGGAAGCAAACACCTGGATTTGGGACCTATTTTATACATAGAGGTTGGTGAACATGTTGATGAATGGACGTGGGGTGTGAAAGAAGGGGAGACGTCAAGCTCAACTCCCCAGGTTTTAGCCTAGTAGATGAGTGGAGGACGGGGCCATTTGCTGAGATGCAGAAGGATCAGGGTTAGGTGGAGAGGGGACGGACGGAGTGACTTTGAGATCCAAGTGGGGACATCAAGGATGTCAAGGAAGATATTCCGTTCCTCCAATAACATAGGCTTATTTCCAGCCTGAGGACCTTTGCACCAGCTGTTCTCTCCCCCCTGTGCAGGGAGTGGCCTCCTTCCCCCATCTTCACATACGGGGACTTTCTCTGTCTTCTGGCTTTGGCTCAAATCTCACCTCCCCAGTCACCTGTCCCTCCAACTAAAGCCACCAACTCCTCCACCCCAGCCTAGACTCTTGAATCATCCTGTTTAAATCCTGAATAGCACTTACCACTGTTAACTTTCTATCTTCCCAATCAGACCGTGGGCTCCAGGAGGGCAGGGTCCACGTCTTGGTCTTACTCATCGCTACATCCTCAGGGCCTAGCAGAGCCCAATATACAGTAAAGACTTCATAAGTTGTAGAGAGAGTGAACAAAAAGGACCCCACTGGACTCTGTGCACTGTTAGGAGGATGCGTCTGAGATACAGACGCCACCGAGGGTCTCAAAGTCTTGCTGGGGGAAAAAGACGTGTCAGCCCAGGATCCCAAAGGAAGCCCCTGAGCCAGTGGAAGGTCAGGGAAGGCTTCCCAGAGAAGGTGGCAGCTACAGCTGCACAGAAAGGAAGAACAGAAGGTTATGCAGCCTGCGGAGGCTCTGGACACTGGCGAGAGCACGAACAGGGCTCACTATCCCATTACACAAGAGAGGCTCAGAGAGGCTGGAACTGTGACTCTACCTGGTGACCTAAATCCTGTCAAGGGCGACGCCTAAGAAGCCATCCTCTCGTCTCGAAGGGACAGAAACGAATTGCCAAGCGCCGCGCAAGGCGGTGGGTCTCCAGCAGGCGGCATTAAAATGAGAATCTTCGTTCCAGTGAAGCTGAGAACACGCGAAAAGGACTAGCGGCTTTTCGCGGCTTCCGTATTACGGAACACATGCGCAAAGATGGCCGCGTCCTGAGCTACGAGCGCCACAGAGAGTCATGTGACTGAGCCACTTCCGGCCTTTTCCCCCGTGCTTTCTCTCGAGCCCTACTTCCTGTGCTGTAGCAGAGACGCGCGTGTTGGGGGCTTAACACGTTCCGAGGCCGCCATAGGCCCGGCCTAGGGCGGCTTTGACTTGAGAGCCAGCCTCAGGCGCATGGAGGGTTTCCCGGAGGGGGAGGCGCCCGCGGCGGCGCTGGCCGCCGTGCTAAAGCACAGCTCGGCGTTGCCGCCTGAGAGCGCCCAGGTTCGGGGCTACGACTTCAACCGCGGCGTGGATTACCGCGCACTGCTGGAAGCCTTCGGCACCACGGGCTTCCAAGCAACCAACTTCGGGCGCGCGGTGCAGCAAGTCAACGCCATGGTGAGGCTTGGGGCGGGACTTCCAGGGCCGGGGGCGGGGCCTCTAGAAGGTCCAGTTCGGAACTTGGAGGAGGCGTGTCCTTCGCCGAGGTGGCCCAATAGTTGGGGAGAAGCGGGGCTTAGCCTGGGCAGGAGTATCCGTGCCGAGACGGAGACTTTGCCTCCAGTTGTTAAATCCTAGTACAACAGGAGGGGGTGGGGCCTTTTTCTACGCAGGGGCGGGTTCTAGGTAAATTTAGTGTTATGGAATGGGCGGGGCCTGGACTTGGATTTGCTTTTCCCAGCAGGGAAGGGAACCGGGCCTGAAAAGGAGATAACACTCTGATTCCTAAAGGGGGGCGAAGCCAGAACGTGTGCCCTGAGATTTGGTCTGCACAGGGGATGTTCCCTGGTCCCTAGTAGAAGTGGTCCTGTATCCCTGAGTGGGCAAGGCCTGGGGGTGGAATTTGACTCTGAAACCCACCTGGGGTCCTTGGGCTCGGGTTTGGGGACCGGTGCTTAGCTAGACCCGGCCCTTACACCCAGATCGAGAAGAAGCTGGAGCCGTTGTCGCAGGATGAAGACCAGCATGCAGACCTGACCCAGAGCCGACGCCCACTCACTGGCTGCACCATTTTCCTGGGATATACATCCAACCTCATCAGTTCAGGCATCCGTGAGACCATTCGCTACCTCGTGCAGCACAACATGGTGGGGACCCGGTGGGGCTGTGGCCTTGGCCTCTCTGGGTCAATGGTCAATGCAGTTATTGATCATTTAAGGGAGATGGGTATGTTTTACGCAGAGGGACAGAATCGAGTTTTGTTTTGCAGCAGAACAACCCCCCAGGGTCAATGAATGAGGCTGAGGTTAGAAGTGCTGCCCAGAATGAGGGCAGGGCCTCCCTTCTTGGGCCAACCTTGCTGCCTTGTGGCTGCAGGTGGACGTATTGGTGACCACGGCTGGAGGTGTGGAGGAGGATCTCATCAAGTGCCTGGCGCCCACATACCTGGGCGAGTTCAGCCTCAGGGGGAAGGAGCTCCGGGAGAATGGGATCAACAGGTGAGAACGCTGAGTGGTACTAGGCAGGGGAGCTGGGCCCAGGGTCTTGGGTCCTGATGCCCACATGCCCACATGCCTCCTGACCACAGGATTGGGAACCTACTAGTGCCCAATGACAATTACTGCAAGTTTGAGGACTGGCTGATGCCCATTCTGGACCAGATGGTGCTGGAGCAGAACACAGAGGTAGGGCTGGAGTGACCCAGAGGGGCCAGTGTGGTGGGAATCAGGGCAGGGGTGGGGTGCTCTGGCTGAAGCTGATGGCCTCCTCCTAGGGTGTGAAGTGGACACCTTCCAAGATGATTGCCCGGCTGGGCAAGGAGATCAACAATCCAGAGTCGGTGTATTACTGGGCCCAGAAGGTGAGGGGCTGGGTGGGGGCAGAGTTGCCAGGCTCTGGCATGTGTTACCTTGTTTCACCTGCACAGCCACCTGGAGAGTCACTCCTGTCACTGTCAGCATCCCCACTCTTAGACGGGGCACCTTAAACACTAGGTAATCTGTCTGAGGTCACACACATACTGAGGGAGGATCTTGGTATCCTAGTGCTACTCCTAGACCAGGAGGAGTGGGGTGGCACTTAGCAACTCCCCTGGGGCCTGGCTCAGAGTCCCATGCTCCCCAGAGGCTGTGAAGTCCAACAGTCTGAAAAATAACAACGGCTACCACTCTTTATGTGCCAGGCCACATCCTAAGTATTGTGTGTGGGTCTCCGCACATACGCCTCCCCGTCCGTGAGAGTGTTACTGTTATCCTTATTTTACAGTGGAGCAAACAGGCCCAGAGAAATGAAAAGGCCCACAATCAGAGAGGGAGGAAGGGATGCAACTGGGATGGGGACCAAGCTGTCCCCAGCAGGCTCTGAGCTCCAGCTGCTGTCCCGTCCTGTCCTCTCCAGAACCACATCCCCGTGTTGAGCCCAGCACTTACAGATGGCTCGCTGGGCGACATGATCTTCTTCCATTCCTACAAGAACCCAGGCCTGGTCCTGGACATCGTTGAGGGTGAGGCGCTGGGGCCACAGGAGCGGGACGGAGGGCCATCTGAGCCCAAGGCCTGAGCACAGCCGTCTCTCTTCCCCCAGACCTGAGGCTCATCAACACCCAGGCCATCTTCGCCAAGCGCTCGGGGATGATCATCCTGGGCGGGGGTGTGGTCAAGCACCACATCGCCAACGCCAACCTCATGGTGAGTGGGGTGGCATGTGTGTGCTGGGCCTGGGCTGCATGCTGGGGAGACAGCCAGCAGACGAGTGACATGCATGTCGGGTGGCAGTAATTGCCATGGAGAAAAGTAAGGCTGGATGAGGGTGTTCAGGGAGGCTTCTGGGAAATGTGACCTGTGAGCAGAGGCTTTTGGGAGGTGCCTCGTCTGAGCCATGATGGCTGTCACTGGGGAGAATTCCTGGGGAAGAGAACAGCCAGTGCAAAGTCAAGGAACAGCTGGGAGCTTGGTGAGGGGGACAGCGGGGGTGCTGAGGGCCGGGAGGTGATATAGCACAGTCTTGCCAGGCCGCAGGGCAGCCTTTGGCTTTTGCTCCAAGGGAAGTGAGAGAGGACCTGCACCAGGGCTTTGCAGAAGTGGGCAGGTGGTTGGCTTTGGAGGTCATCTGAAGATAACAGCTGGTAATGGCTCCTGCTGTGTAGGTGGGGGAGGGTTGCTGAGACCTAGCGGGTAGGTCTAGGCAAGTCTGCCTGGCAACCCCCGTGACCCCAGGCACCTCCCTGGAGTAAGGGGCTGCCAGGGGCTGCCTGCATCTGGGACACAACCCTTAGCCTCTTTGGCTATGGTATCCTGCCTGTGTGTCCCTGTCTCCTGCCACCAGCTGACCAGGTCTACCCTGCCCCTCCCCACAGCGCAACGGAGCCGACTATGCTGTCTACATCAACACGGCCCAGGAGTTTGATGGCTCTGACTCGGGCGCCCGGCCAGATGAGGCTGTCTCTTGGGGCAAGATCCGGATGGATGCACAGCCTGTGAAGGTAAGGGCTGGCCAGGTGGGAGCAAGTCTCCCCTGCCGTGGCCATTGGCCCCACGCCTCACCCAGGTCCCCTCCGTAGGTCTATGCTGATGCCTCCCTGGTCTTCCCCCTGCTCGTGGCTGAAACCTTTGCCCAGAAGGTGGATGCCTTCACGCCCGAGAAGAACGAGGACTGATTGGCTGTGGCCTCAGGGAGGCCTCGCCCCAGCCTCTATTTATTAGTTTGTAGACCAAACCCCCATGTCCGCCTTGGACAGCAGTGTATCTATAATAAATGGTGTCGTGGTCCTTCTGAGTCCGTGCGTTGGTCCTTGGTCCTGGTGGTGGGTCCCTGGCTTCAGCCTTCTCCTCCCTCTGCCTCGTAAGCCTCCTCTCGCCAGCAATGGACGCTGCCCCCCACGGCAGTGAGCAGGCAGGGCTCCGTGGGGTGGTAGGCCAGCGACTGCACCACACCGCGACCCACAGGCAGGGCCAGTGCCAGGGAACCCTGTGGAGCAAGGGGTGGGGAGTGGTCATTGGTGGCCAGGCTGTCCCCAGCTCCCAAGTTCCCTGGGTATCCTCATGCCCTAGGTCACCTCTCCCTGGACCTTCAGCCACCTGCCTCTAATTGCCTCCTGGACACTGCAAACCTAATCTGCCACCAACTGAGCCCCTCGGGAAATCCATCCTTCCAGGTGCTTGGGCCAAATGTCTTGGGAGTCTTTCTTTCGCAACTCGCATCTCCTTATCAGTAAATCCTCTTGGCTCTGCCTCTGGATGGTGTCCAGAGACTGCCAATTCTCCACCTTCTCAGCTGCCACCCTGCTCTGAGCATGTCTTGCTCCCAGCTTCCCTGTTCCTGGTCACTGGCTGGGCGCCACCCTGCCCACTAAGCACCCGCCAGTCACAGCACAGTGTAGACAGTTCCCCTCAAGCAAACCATGTTTCCTCTTTCCACTGAAAATGTTCCTTCGGTGTCCTCCCTCCAGGGCAACTCCCAGTCTGTCTTAGTTCCTGGAGTGACAGCTTGTCCCTGAAGTCTCCAGGGTCTCCCAGTTCCCTCCATCCTCTTAAGAGGACTTAGTTTCCCTGGCCAAGTGCCAACGTCTCCTTCCCTGAGGCTCCCCAGCCCCGACCCCACTAAGCCAGGACAGTCTATTCCCAGCCTCACTCCTCCGCCAGGCTGGCACACATTGAGGACATGAGGCATGAGGGTTCAGCGGGGCTTGAAACCATGAAGGGGAATGCTCAGATGCAGCTCAGGTTTCCTGAACAACACCGTCTCATCCAAGGTCAGACACCACCATCGGCTACCCCCTGGTTGGTGCCAGTGGCCCTGCTTGGCATCTGCGGCCCTGCCTGCCCTGGCTCTTGCTGCTGCTGCCAGCCTATAATGTTTGCACAGGTCATACCTCTACACTTTAGCACATGCTGTTCCCTTTGCCGCGAATGCCCTTTTTTCCTTGTCCTCTCCTCCAAGATCCCAGCTCGAATACCTAACATCACTGTCCTTTTCAGGCCCTCCAGTGACTGAGGTAAGGATGAGGCTGGGACGGGGTAGGTGCCCAGGTATTCAGTGGGATTGGGGGTGACTCACCTCCACCAGGTCCCAGAAGAACACCTTCCCGTCCTCAGAGCAGCTGACCACGTGCGTGTCGCGCTCACTCAGGCAGCAGTCCAGTTTGTACTCCTGGTTCTTATGGCCTGTGTACCTGGGAGTGGGTGGGATCAGGGGGCTTGGTCCTCATGGTAAGGGGGGCACAGGGGTGGGGGAAGTGGGGAAGCATGACCTTAAGGACTCACTCGCCCAGCAGCTCCCCTGTATCTTTGTCTAGAAGCCGCAGTGTGGAGTCCAGGCTGGACACGAGGGTGCACTGCCCGTCCCGGCTGAAGCAGGTGCAGGTGATGGGGCCTAGAGGAAGGGGAGGGGCAGGCAGGTAGGTAGGTGGAGTGTCCCTGGCAGTACCCCCATCTTCCCTGCCTGCCCCACAGTCGCAGCCACACTCACTGCCCACGTAGTCTGAGAAGAGCTGTCCCATTCTCAGGTCATAGCGCCTCACTCGGCCATCCACAGAGCTGCAGGAGAGGAGGGTGGATGGAGCCAAAACCTTGACTGGGGGTGGCTCCATGGCTTCAGGTGGCTTTGGTGTCCCTGTGCCCTCCCACCCTGCTGGGCCTGTTCTTCCTGTGCATACAAGTGGACTTCTGAGGCACTAGCTTTGAGGCTCAGGCCCAGGGTCCAATCACCCCATTGTTTCCAAGATCCACAGCTCCTGTTCCAAACCCCCCGCAGTCCTTCTGGAGTCCCTTTTCCTGCACTCTCCAGCTCTTCCTCCACAGTAATCCCAGAATCCCACCACTTACCCACCTCCCCCAATCAGCACCAGCACCTGCCCTGGCCCCCACAGCCACCAGAGGGAGCACTTTTCAAAGT